AATGGGTAATGAACCACTTGCTGTGTAATACTTTACAAAATTTGGTGTAGTGTTACCATTCTTGTTCTCCTTCCTACAAAATATACAACTACATACTCACACTGTGATTACTTTTATATATTTTCAAAACTGTATAACCAGAGAGAACAGAATGTAACTTAACTTGAGTAGGACGTTGCTATGATAGTATACCTCCTTACCGATCGTATCTCGGCACTGGCGGCGGCCATTTTGTATTGACAGACTAATATCTGCATAGAGATGGGAGAAGTAATGTCACGGCCGTGTTGACGTTGTTTATGAGAGAGTTTCCTCATTCGCTAAATTTGGGTGAAAATATGAGGAATTCTTTCTCAAGATGAAGGTTTTAATCACATAATTACAGTTGATGACAACGAGTTTCAACAGGGTAGTTTATTCTAAACATATTCAGCGTCTTGATCCTTATCTGAGTAAATAAATTTACGTATAAGCCACGTATCCGTGCATCCAGTTAGCCATCCCTGTGTATAATTATTATTATTATTATTATTATTAAAACTGGAGCGCTGCAGTTTGCATGCAAGATAACAGCTGATTGGACAGTTTGTTTGCTGTTAGAACCACGCCCACTTAACAAAAATGATAATCAAAGAGGGCTTTACTTTACTTTTGTTCCTGGCCTGGAAGGGAAAAGTTTCAATGTGTGGCGTACTTACGTAGTCTACGAAAACGCCACATGATGTATGCTTGATGGTACTAGGTCACGCTGCCAGGGAAATGGCACGAATGAAGTCTTGAATGTCGTATTTTACATATTTGAGGAGGGAATATGTACTTCGCCTTCCCCATTTTTTGTTTTTGTGTGTAAGGAATCCTGCTTGCTTGTAGGCTGTGGTGTAGTGATGTTTAATTCGTTTTGGATAACTGACAATGTAGTCATGACAGTATTGCGCCCTGTAGTCAAGTCTGACATATCTGTGTTTATGTTTTGTAGTGAATGAATTAAGTAAGCCCGTAGTCAGCCGTGTGTCTACGTAATATGCAAGTTTTTGAAATGCCGTTACAACAGATTAGCGTTTCGCCACTTGATTGGGTCAAAGAAAATACAAATGCAAGCACCCAGAACCAGGACTGGAAAGCGCAGGTATGTAATGAAGGTACCGATTTTTCGAATAGTGAAAAGCAGGACCTGCACAGCTACTTGTCACCATTGACAGTTTTCTGCAGTTCATATTGTCTCCTCTCAGCTGCATTAGCTGGACATTCTGCTACTGTGGTGCTTATACCAAATTAGCCTCTCTAGTTCCAAAATCTGTGAAATGGGTGTTTTTATTATATTTAATATATCCATAATTAACTTCCCACAATGAATGTGAGAGTTTAAATGAAAGTAGGACTAGATGTGCTGTATCTTGACCATAGATTCTGAGGGCTTTATATGTTCCTATAAAGCTATCCCTGTAACAGGCCATGGAGGCCCATAGGGTTGTGAGATGTCAAGGGTCACACATTTTCTAAACCATCGGCTCACAGATGATGGTGTGGTTGTAAGCCTTAGGTGCCAGCCCGCCTGTATCCCCAGGAAGATTCCTGATACTCATTTCTCTTAGAGGCTAAGTCAACCCCAGGGTCAGAATGCAGCTGGAAGGATTATGTCAACTGAAAAACCCCGTGACCTTTCTTGAATCAAATCTGCGACCTTCTGGCTTGTAGCATAGTACCTCAACCAACTACACTATTGTGTGCCCCCAAAATAAATTTTGTGGCTTACATAATTTAATATTATTTACTTCATATTTAAACTCATGGATTGGTGTTCAAGGACTAATCAGAGTGTAAATAGATCACATTTGAAAATGATCAGAATTTGGTAAAATACATTGTTACTTTACTCCTAGTGTGAAAGACTTGGGGACTAATTTATATAAATATGAACGTGGTAGTGAATAATTGGACTGATATGGGAAGTGATGCCACATACAGGTGTCTCATTATGAAATGCCATATTTTACAAGATGATTTCTGGACATCAAAGTAAGTAAAAATATTTGTGTGAATTTGTACGCTGATGGTCTTCCTTATATAGTTATAACCATTAGAATATGTCAGCTCCTGCTGTCACATTCTGAAAAACAGACATTCCAAGAGTATTTTGTTTGTGTCACGTGGTGATCATAGAAATCCATTCGATGCTTAACTTTGTGTTGATACTTAAAAGTCATACTTGGAATACATAGTGGTATGATGTAGACAGACACTATTGGGTTTTACATTTCAATTCAGTCTGAAGCAATGTAAGGTTGGAAGAGCATGTTACATATGGATCCAGCATGGAAAGTGTCTGTTCATTTACAGAATTAGCACACATGCATCTTGTGGTAGGAGAGTGTAATAGGAATGCTGCAGATGCTGCTAGCAAATACAGAGAAAAATTCCATAATTGGAGAGTACCAAATTATTGTACTTTTCTTTCTGTTAACTTGCTGTTAACATGAGGCCATTTCAAGCACCCCTTATAAGAAAGTCAATATAAAGAGGTTATTAGAGTTCTTTTGTTTGTTTTCTTCTTATGCAGAACTCATTAAACTTAGAAAGTATTTAAGGTGTGACCATGAAAATTGAAATTAAAATATCTGTAACTTTATAATGAAGGCCCTCAGGGTACACATGTATATGACCTTTTGTTACTTATTTTCATGTTCAGAAACCATCCTCCAAAATATGACATATAATAAAGGCACACCTGTAGTCTGGTAAGTGGTTACCAACATTTTTGAGGAATGCATTGCCCCCATCTTAAAACCTGAAGTGGAAACACTGTGTTCCTCTGGCTACCATATTAGTTAGCATCACAACCCAGAAGAATGCAGTTTTAATTTATATATATAGTTACTCACATTAATCATGTGTACACCTAAAATGGTAGCATAGTGGTTGAGGGGCTATGCTACAAGCCGGAAGGTCATGGGTTCAGGTCCTGATGAGGTCATTGGATTTTTTTCAGTTGACCTAATCCTTCCAGCCGCACTAGGTCCTGAGGTTTATTCACCCTCTGACAGAAATGAGTACCAGGAATTAATTAAATAATTTTCCTGGGGATTAAAGCGTGGCCGGCGCATAAGGCTGAGAACCTTACCGCCATTTTTGAGCCAATTGTCTAGATAGTGTGGTGCCCTCAACATCTCACAACCCTATGGGCCTTCACGGCCTGGTACAGGTGTGGGAACTGTCCACATTCAAGCAATTGTGGCAACGCAAGCTTCATTGCTTAGCAATGAATTGAATCTGGGTTTGATCTTCTGCACTTTTTCCATTCATTGATATTCTAAACAACAGAACACAATGTTCTGGGAGCAGACCCAGCTCCCAAAATGTTGTATTCTGTTTTTTTAGTATATCAGACAATGAACAGAAACTACAGATCTGACTTAGGAGTTTTTGGGTCGTCTAAGTACGTCATTCATCGTTCCTTTATTGGACACTGTTTCACTATATGTTCTGGTCTAACTGGCAATCTTCAGGTGTACAGATGCTGTGGACAAGGATACTGCTGCACACTGTAACACGGTGTAATACGCTGTCATTAGAGCCCTTTTGAATTGGTCAATGAATGACTGCTTCAACTATGGCACAGCCTTCCTTCTGTTTAAAGACGTTTTCTTTTTATTTTCCAGGAGCCCATGTTCACAACTTCGAGTCAGCATCCACCAGAACGTTGTGCATCCCAGGCTTCAACTCTTTCTAACAACCATGATATATGCAGGTGATCTTCAGTTTCATAACACTCCTGCAATTGGAACACTGCTGTAATATAGACACCTAAGGTTGCCACTTCAGACATTTTTCAAGTCTAGAAATTTATTCTTAGCTGATCACAGTGGCCGTGTGGTCTAAGGCATGAACTCTCTTCGCCCGCTCAAAACACTGGGGTCATTGGTTTGAATCCCACTTGAGGTGTGGGTGTCTGTGTGTATTTATAGTGGCCTTACACTGGGCTGATCCCCCGTCCAAGGGGTCATACCAATTATATGTAGATTAAAAAACTGAAAAAGTGGCCAAGGTCCAACAAAGGGCTGTAGAGCCATAATGGAACAATAGACGGGAATAGATATTTTTCTTATGGCTTATGCAGCTATAAATTCTTTTCCTCTTCACTATCAGGATTGGGTATTAGAAGCCTATTCCAATGTTCAGAAATTTGAAAACTGATTTTCCACTTTCTTCCAGACCTTCCCACATCTCTCTTCCCTCTGGAATTATGTATGTAGCTTAATTTGGTAATCTATTGTCTTGCATTCTCTATTGTTTCCTGTTTACTTGATAGTAATTCAAATGAAATGGGAAATCACCATCAAAATGTGTCTAATTTATTTCATTTTCACTGATCAAATACTATCACATCCCTGACCTGTGTCTGTCATAAGATGACCATTTTCAGAGGGAGACATAATATTAAAGGAAACTTTACGATATATGTGTATAAAGGATTTAAAATATCTAAGCCTTTTAAGTATAGTGATCATTTTTTATCAATAGATAAAATAGTTGCATAGGAAACAGATGTTCTGAAAATGTGGCACAGTTCACATATTTGGGAACAACGATAACAGATCGAAACCTGATTCAGGAGGAAATTTAGAGGAGATTGAACTCGGGTAATGCATGCTACCATTCAGTCCAGAACCTTTTGTCTTCTTCTCTGCTGTCAGAAACATAAAAATTAGAATATACAAGACTATAATTTTGCCTGTGGCTCTGAATGGGTGTGAAACTTGGTCTCTGACGTTAAGGGAGGAACATAGACTGAGGGTGTTTGAGAACAGAGTGTTGAGAATATTTGGACCGAAGAGAGATGAAGTGACAGGAGGCTGGAGAAAACTGCATAATGAGGAGCTTTATAACTTGTACTCTTCTCCAAGTATAACTACAATGATCAAGTCAAGGAGGATGAGGTGGGCAGGACATGTAGCATGAATGGGGGAGACGAGGAATGTGTATAGGATATTGGTGGGAAAGCCAGAAGGAAAGAGACCACAGGGAAGACTAAGGCATAGGTGGGTGGACAATATTAAAATGGATCTTAGAGAGATAGGATGGGATGGTATGGATTGGATAGATTGGACTCAGGATAGGGACCAGTGGAGGGCTCTTGTGAACACAGTAATGAACCTTCGGGTTCCATAAAATGCTGGGAAATTCTTGAGTAACTGCAGAATTGGTGGCTCCTCCAGAAGGGCTCAGCTCCATGAGTAAGTAAGTAAGATAAAATAGTTGAATTACTGTTTTTTTGTTTTAACTTTTTCCATCATCTCGTATTCTAGATAACAGAAAACATGACATTTTGGAAACTGGATTTGTTTCCATCCTCAGGTGAGTTGGGCCAGTTTCTGAAATGTCATGTTTTCTGTTTTCTAGAATACTGGATCATGGAAAAATTCCAAAACCCCAGTAATTCTGTGTGTTATACATCACCATCAGAACTTTAGAATCCAAAATAGCTGAAGTTTGTGGATATAAGTAGTTGTTGGACTTAGTCCCACCCCACTAGCAATAATAAAAAAAAGTTATATTGTGTACTAATTTCTGTAGTATTGACGAAGTATGGCATTTCTGTATTGCTCTCAGATATAAGAACTGCTGGGGATCCTTGACTGGACTCAGGCAAGCAAAGGGACTCATACGAGAACCCTCTGCTAAAAGAGCGAAGGAACTGTTGAAGTTAAACGGGAACCAGCTACGATAGGTGGTGGGACTACTTACAGGACACTGTCACCTTAAAGGACACCTCTTCAAACTGGGACTAAGTGATAGTCCCACTTGTGAGAGATGTCAAGAAGAAAATGAAACAGCCACACATATCCTGTGTGAATATGAGGCCTTACCTTATTTAAGATTACATCACTTGGGTCAATATTTTATGGAACCAATTGACTATTTCAACGCCCCCACATACAAAATCCTGCACTTCATTCGAAGCACAGGATTGCTGAGATGATAATCAAAAGGGGAAGCGCAACAGACCACTGTAGGTCGTGGTGCAAGGGCCAAGAAGGCCCACCCCTTATACATTCATTGCTCTCAGATGTGTTCAGTGCCATTTAGCATAGTTCAAAAACTGCAGTAATAAATAGACTGTAATAACTGTGTAATTATTTTTATATCCGATATTTATGAAGTTGTAATGATTTTGTTTTCAGAATCTGCCACTGTGAAGGAGACAGTGAGGTGCCCCTCATTGCACCATGTTACTGTGCAGGATCCCTGCGATATGTTCATCAGGCTTGCCTGCAGCAATGGATCAAGTCTTCAGACATCCGAAGCTGTGAGCTTTGTAAATTTCAGTTCATCATGCAGAGCAAGATTAAACCATTTAGTGAGGTAAATTTTTATTTGGCATCTCTTTGCAGCAAATAAAGGTGGATCAAATGTGTGAGGTATGTGGCATTCATGGGGGAGATGAGAAATGCATACAAAATTTTAGTTGGTAAACCTTAAGGAAGGAGACTGTGTGTGAATCTTGGGCAAAGATGGAAGGATAATACTGAAATGGATGTTATACAGGTAATATGTGAGGGTGTGGTGGTCAGAGTTCCTGCATACAGATCCGGAGGTCCCGGGCTAGATTCCCGGCGCTACCAAATTTTCTGAGAAGTAGTGGGTCTGGAATGGGGTTCACTCAGCCTTGCGAGGATAATTGAGGAACTACTTCAACAGAAAAGTAATGGCTCCAGTCTAGAAAACCGAAATTAACTGCTGTGGGGATTCGTTGCGCTGATCATGTGACACTCTGTATCTGTTATAGTTGGCACTAACTTCACTGACAGTAGTGGTCACTTGGTCAGTATAGTTTGCTTGCGGACTAAAGCCAGAGAGTTTATTTGTTGTTAGCTGTAGTGGCTAGTCATGTAGCAGTAAGAATCCTGCATGATTCAAGATCCGTAGATATCATGTAGATGGTGTATATCACACAGGATTACTGGGTTTTTGGACTGTTTCCATTGGCCGGTATTCTAGAAAAATAGAAAATGCAATATTTTGGAAAATGGATCTGTTTCCATCCTCAGGTGGGGGGGGGGGGAAGACACCTACACCTACTCTGTTGGGCCTCTTTCTAATGGCTCCAACTGAGTAGGTGTCTCCCACCTCCTCACCTGAGGACAGAAACAGTATTCCTATAAGTTAGTGTCATGGTAATCAACAGTTTATGTTTCCTGTAAAATCTATAACCATGTTGTTACTGCCTCATTTTCTGCTGCTGATATCAGAGCTCATGGTCTTGCTTTCCCCCCATTACTCCTTTCTTCCTGAATTAATGGACAGTACTGCTGACTGTTTCAGAAAAATCTATGTACTTGTTATTGCTCCACTGTGATGACTTTCAATCATAACTGAGATTCATTAAATTATAGAATTTCATTACTTGAAATGAAATATTACCTGTAATAGACTGAAGTGGAAAGTGCTTTCTCTGTGCTTGAGTCAATAAAAACTTCTCGCTCATGGTGCATTATATTAAAACTATAAATATTATGCCATTATAATCAATAACAATTCAGTTACAAATTTTGCAGTTTGATGCTTGTGTAAAGAAAAATGTAAGTCATCCAAATCTATTCCTGATCATCCAGTGTAGCTTGTATTCATATGTTCTGACCAGCAGGGTGATAACATGAATATATGTATACATAGGCACAGGGTGCCCATAAGCTGTTCATGTGGTGCACCTGTGTGACGAGTGCATAAAGCTTAAGAATTATATGCATTAGCTCCTTTTTATTATCTCAGAAACAGTAAGACTTACACAAAATATGTATTGGGTATAAAATTGGTTTCATTTATTTCCACAACTTGTTTAAACATTTCTCACTCCCAGAAATACTTAGCTAATAACACATGCGTTAATCTCAGTTTAAAAAGTACTTTTAAGAATACTAAGTTACAAAAGTAAATCTTCCTTATTATTCCTCTTATGTTGCAGGCTTAACAAAGATTTGGGTGTCTTTTCTCATTGCAGTGGCAGACACTGGAGATGTCTGGTGTGGAGCGCCGCAAGCTCCTGTGCTCTGTCACATTCCATGCTGTGGCTTTGACTTGTGTTGTATGGTCACTGTATGTCCTGATTGATCGTACAGCAGAAGAGATATACAAAGGTATTCTTGAATGGCCATTCTGGACAAAACTCATTGTTGTGGCTATTGGATTTACTGGTGGTATTGTCTTTATGTACATCCAGTGCAAAGCTTATCTTCATTTGTGCCGACGCTGGAAGGCATTCAACCGGGTGATATTTGTCCAGAATGCTCCAGAAAAGGTTGCCTTGCCACCGTCAAATTCCCAGCCACCGGTAGCAAGAGAAGAATCACTGCTAGTGTCAGAGACCTGCTGTGGAGTTGTCACCTCGGCCGATGTTGGAAAGGGAAAACGCAGAGGGAATGAGTTGGCTAATGCAACTTCTGTGGATTCTACTTTCCATGGAGGGAAATGGAAGAGTTCATGTAAGAGTAGGGTAGAAGAGAAACAACATGAGAGACCAGTTTCTGTTTCTGACAACATACTTTTGACATGTACTGAATCTGGAAATGAAGAATTACTTAAGAGAGTTACTGTAGTTGATAATGGTAATGATTATCAGTCCCTAGTGTCAGAGACCCTTGATGGTTATGGTATTTGTGATATAAGCAATTTAAAGGATAGCGACTGTCAAGACAGCACAGCTAATATATCAAGTATAAAGTTTTCTTACGATGATTTGTCTCATGTAATTGTAGACAATTGTTTAACTGAAAATGAATATGAAGAAATGAGTCACCTTTTACAAGAAGAGAACAGGAAGTGTGAAAGTGTATGTAGAATTGGTGGGAGTCGCCAAGGTGCAGTTGGTTTTGTGTTTCTTCCATCTCTTGCATCTCCTCTGGCCAGACAGACAGAAGCAGAGGGGAGGGGAGTATTCCAAGACAGAGACATACCCAATACATCCACTAGCTGTACTGTGAGTTCAAGTAGCAGTGAAGAATCAGTTCGGTCACCATCAATACGGTTGCTGCAACAAAATCGAAAATCACTGAATGATACAGGACTGTCGCTTAAACAGTTACAGACTCCATCTTTGCCGGCAAGACCATGGACTGTTGGTCCTTCCAACTCGGGTGTGAAGCGGGTGTCTGATGTGGCATCTGATCAAACAGGTGAAGTGCCAGCAGCTACAGCCCGACCAAAGTTCTCTCTTGGGTCCCAGTCCCCACTTATTTCTGTAGCCCCTGTGAATGAAGATTCTACAAATGCTACATGATGACTGCACAAATTGAACAAAATTCATGAGGTGCAAAGAAAATTTATTTCAGAATATTTATAATAGAATCCATTGTTTTATAAAATTAGGCCTATTTAAAACATTTTTGTAAATGGTGTATTTAAAAACTATGTTTTAAGTACAAATTATAAAATTCAGCCAGAAGGTTTATTTCTTTTTCTTATTAAACACTGGAATCCTGTGGAAAAAAAAATTCAGCATTAGAAGGCTGTAGTAGTTATTTTACAATATGAATGTGGTAAGTGTGAACTCTTCTTATACTTAATTACACAGATTGAGTTCCATTCATATTTTGTACTTAAATTGAAATATTAACACCTTGTTCTCTTTTGGTCTAGATAAGGATTCTATTCCTGTTTGACTGACTCTCAGAATTTAATAATTGTACTTAATTAAAAGTATTTGTGATGTGTATGAAACCGTACTTCATAGTTCTAAGCTGCAATGAGTAAAGTGACATTTATTCATAATAAATTAGTGCAATTTTCAAGAGCCTTAATTACATTTGCAGTCTGTTGTATGTTGTAGGCATAATATAATGCCTAAAAGTTTTATGTTAATTTTTTATATTGGTGCCAATATTGTAACTCAAATAAAGTTATCAGTGTAAGTGGTAAAATATTATATACTGACGTATGGTTTATGTCTGTAGGGAATGCTGGTAGAAGGAGCTTAATAGAGGCTGCTGTATGCCAGAGATATTCAGAAGTACACATTTCATTCAGCCAATAATTGCCCCCCCCACCAATACAGTGACCTTATAAGACAACCCCCAACCTTCCCAATGCCAAATGTTACTGAAACATAACTTGTACAGATAAATTCAATTTTCGATCAGAAACAAAGTTTTCTTCACATTCTCTTATAATGGCCTGTTGTAGGACCATCGAATGCTTAACTGGTGAAACTTGGGCTTAGTATTTGTTTTTGAATTTCCTCCAGGATCACATATTGGCCCCAGGTATACTATATATCCTCGATGTTACAGAATTATTATCTTTGGCAAACAGATAACATAAAATGGCATCATGTGCACTCACAGGTGGGATAAAGAAATATGCTCCCTACAAGTCCCGATGGGGTCAATGGATTTTTTCAGTTGACCTAATCCTTCCAGCCGCACTAGGCCCTGGGGTTTACTCAGCCTCTAACAGAAATGAGTACCAGGAATTAATTAAATAATTTTCCTGGGAAGTAAAGCGCGGTCAGCGCGTAAGGCTGACAACCTTACCGTCTTTGAGCCGATTGTCTAGATAGTGTGGGACCCTCAACGTCTCACAACCCTATGGGCCTTCACGGCCTGGTACAGGGATAGCTTTACTTTACTTACAAGTTCTCTCATGATTTTGTCATGTAGTTTATTAAGCTTTTGTCTAATAGCAACAGTTATCAAAGATACTTAAAAAAACCTGAGTATCCTAAGTTATGTATAAATGTTCACAGTTAACATGAATGCCATACCTTAAAATCATTTCTTAACAACACAAAGGATTTCAGAGCATCCACTAACTTAACTAACTTAAGCGACATCTGCTAAGTGGCTTAAAAAACCTGAGTATCCTAAGTTATGTATAAATGTTCACAGTTAACATGAATGCCATACCTTAAAATCATTTCTTAACAACACAAAGGATTTCAGAGCATCCACTAACTTAACTAACTTAAGCGACATCTGCTAAGTGGCTTAAAAAACCTGAGTATCCTAAGTTATGTATAAATGTTCACAGTTAACATGAATGCCATACCTTAAAATCATTTCTTAACAACACAAAGGATTTCAGAGCATCCACTAACTTAACTAACTTAAGCAACATCTGCTAACTGACATGCCTTCAAACATTGTGTATTAATATTAGAATGTTTCTTCCTTCAGAATAATTCTGTTGGTTTAGTGGTAGTGAAGACACTGCACATACAGATTCATTTCTAATGGATATTTCATCATTACAAAATATATGTACCTCAGAAGCAGAATTGTGGTTCCAAAAATATTAGATGTAGATACATTCTGTGTAGTGTCATGGGAATGGAAATGAAATAGTAATGTGTGTTTACTGCTTTTGAAATATTCTCATATTGATATAATTAATACTCAATGCATATGTACCACAGTTGCTTGATATCTGTTTTCCCAGAAATCTTATCATATTTTTCTTCATTCATAACTTAAAATGACACCCTTCCCCAATATACACATATTACTGAAACTAAAAGTAATAATATCTCATCTTGTAATCACGTGAATACAGTACATAGTCCCACTGGGTGGACTTTGTGAATGGTTTAACAAATGCTGCTGTGTGTTTCTCCTGGAGAATGTTTTATTATTATACAGAAACAGGATAAGAAAAGAATAGAAATATGTACCCCAGTGGAGTATACTATTTTCCAGATGTGTTCTTTACTATTCTGCATACCTCATTGGCCTTGATGTTCTTTTATTGCAGATACAGTTTTGTTGTTATGAATCTAATCACTTTACAGATATAGTCCAAAATTGTTTTCCCTTGTATTTTTGTCAGTATTGAAAAATATTTAAAATGAATGTTGTAGATCTGAGATATCAACCAGTTTTTGTACAGTGATAGGTTTGAGAAAAAACTGACAAAGCTCGATTTAACCTGCATATAGAATATGAATTATAGTATACCAATATGTGTGGTTCTGTATGGGTGTGAAACTTGGTCACTGACATTAAGGGAGGAACACAGACTGAGGGTGTTTGAGAACAGGGTGTTGAGGAGAATATTTGGACCTAAGAGAGATGAAGTGACAGGAGGTTGGAGGAAACTGCATGAGGAGCTTCATAACTTGTACTCTTCTCAAAGTATAATTAGAATGATCAAGTCAAGGAGGATGAGGTGGGTAGGTCATGTAGCACGAATGAAGTATTTTTGTTACTTCCACGTGGCGCATTTCTGCACAATTCTTTCACTGGCCAGATGTGGCCCGTGGGCTGTAGTTTGGATACCCTTGCACTAAAGGATCTATGATCTAAATTTCCGCCCCAGTCTGCATTGGAAAAACCTTCCAATTGATCATTATTCTGAGAATATAAAATACCTACATCCTTTGTAGTATTTAGGTATTTTAGAACCCTTTTCAATAAAACTCAGAGTTCTCTCGTGAAACAAGTGTTAAATTGGCTAAAATAAGTCATAGCAAAAGATATATCAGGGCGCGTGCATACGGCTAAATACATCATTGAACCTACAGCTTGTTGATATGGCACATCATCTAGATTCTCGATCGATTTATTTGAGTTAGGCAACGGTTTAAATTTGCCATTTGGTTCTATTGGATGACTGGTTTAGTCTCATTAGGAATATTAAATATCTTAAGAACATTGTTCAAATATTGAGTTTGGAAATCTTAGCAGCTAAGAAGGGAACACACATCACAAGACACGGTTTACACAGAAAATAAAAAAAATGACCCCATAGTGAATGAACCACACGCAAGTTTTAATTAAGACAAATAAGATGAATAATCTTAACAAGGTTTAGTGAGTGTAAATTTGTTGTAGTTGACAAATACACGCTTTTTAAATGGTGTTGTCAAGACATATGAGGGCAAGCAATGCAATAGATTAACGTAATTAGGGCACCTGATGATGGCACTATGTTGCCGAAACATGTTGTGAAGTAACAGGTGAAACTGAGTGCACTACAAGATGGCCACTGTATACATATCATGCATTGATGAGTGTTTTACTACGGGAGCGAAAGTTTCAAAATAGTCTATTCCCTTTGTTTGGCTACAACCTTTCGCCACTAAACGTGCTCTGTGACATGCAATATTTCCTTCAGCATCTCATTTAATTTTGAAGACCCATTTTGACTTCACTATTGGCTTATTCGACGGTCTGTCTACTATTGTCTGTGCTTCATTTGTTTGGAAAGCTTCTAACTCCTGTTGAATAGCTTCTTTCCATTTAGATTTATCGGAGCTTGATAATGCCTCTTCATATGTGACTGGTTCTGACTCCTCATCTTTATGCATGGCTAAGTAGGTAATATATTCTGGAAATTCTTTCTGTTTACTGTTCCGAAGTGGATGTCGTCTTTCTTCCAAATTTCCTGGTAATTGTTCTAAGCCGTTCAGCTCTAATGGAACTTCATTTTCTACTTGTGTTTGTGTTTCTTCGGGGTTTTGTTCTTGCGGGATCATTGTTTCATCTTATGGGTCGAGGTAGAAACTTGACAACTCTGGAAGAATCTCTTTAAGCTGAAATCCTTTCTCACTCTCTTTCTTGTTTATAATTTCTTCTTCCAGAAATTATTGTCTATTATGTCTATTATTGAAAATTGTTTACTACAACGTTGCCAACTCTAGCATTATATTTTAACATTAGAGAGTTGCCAAAATAACATGGGGGAGATGAGGAATTTGGATAGGATATTGGTGGGAAAGCCAGAAGGAAGGAAACCACAGGGAAGACCAAGGCATAGGTGGGTGGACAATATTAGAATGGATGTTAGAGAGATAGGATGGGATGGTATGGTTTGGATAGATCTGGCCCAGGATAGGGACCAGTAGAGGGCTCTTGTGAACATGGTAATGAATCTTTGGGTTCCATAAAATGCTGGGAAATTCTTGAGTAGCTGCAGAATTGGCAGCTTCTCCAGAAGGACTCAGCTCCATGAGTAAGTAAGTAAGTAAGTATACCAATATGAACCTGAACTAATATTAAATTTATATGAAAACTTCAAATTCCATTGAATTTTATTTGAAGTTGTCATATAAATTTAATTTTAGTTCAGGTTCATAACAGTTCACTATAATTCATATTCTATATGTAGGTCACATTGAGCTTTATCAGTTTTATCAAGAACAGATCATTGTACAAAAACTGGCACTTCAAATTTCATTGAACTTTATTAATTAGTTTGAGGAGCCACAATACCTTGGTCAGTATAGCAATGGGCTACAGGCTGGATGGCTGGAACTTGATTTCCTGCAGGTGCACGAGATTTTTCTCTACTTCATAGTGTCAAAATGATTTCTATGGCCCACCAAGCCACCCAACATCAGTCACTGGAAAGAATTATTCCACATTACTTCACAGTGAAATGCAGCTTGTTATTGTCAGGCGTGATAAGGGGTGGACCTTCTTGGCCCTTGCACCGTGACCTACAGGGATGTATTATGCTTCAACACAACATAATTTCTAGGATTCACCCAAACTAGAAGGTACAAATCATGTGCTGGAAATCTTCAGGTATACTGGAAAGTACATTCAATGAACCCCCATTCACAGTCAGTGTAGAGCGGTGTAAAGACTGGCTATCACCTGGATGGTAGGGACGAGATTTTTCTGTCCACATCGTCCAGACCCTGACTGGCTCTGTGGTCCGCCTAACCTCCTATCCGGGGTAAGGCGACCCGGGCGTGAAGCTGTCTTCCAACTAGTGCCGAGGGCAAAGTAACGTAAATCTATAAATTCGCTCCCGCACACGCCTTGATACCATTAGTGTTTACTTAGTTTAGCACAAGGTAAACTTCACCTATACCTTTTAAAACGTACCTGCAGGTACTTTTTTTATCTCTTCGTCTGGGGGGGGGGTGAAGTCCAACTGGGGCCACTGCTTGGCTTATTGTAGCCTGACCCGGGGGCTTGT